CAGAACACAGAACACAGAACATCAGAACACAGAACATCAGAACACAGAACATCAGAACACAGAACATCAGAACATCAGAACACAGAACACAGAACATCAGAACACAGAACACAGAACGCAAGTGGAACGCTTCGAAACGTGCACACGTCTGAAATCCAGCTTTAAGAGTCAGAACAAAGCGGTGACACTGATTCCTTTGCACTTCCTGGAAACACTAATGAATCTGCTGAACTTACAGGAAGTCAGAGATCTAGAAATGCTCCAGGTGGTTAACGGGTTCTGTACGATAAAGTGAAAACAAAATGCAAATTACTGCTGTTCAAGCTGGTTCAAGTGTTCTTTAAAACCAGTAAAAATTTACTACTGTGTTGCTAAAGTACAACACAAGAAAAAGTTACATACTGTGTAAGTAATTCCTTCAGAGAAAGGGAAAATGTGTTCTTCTGAAATGAAACTGAACTGAAATGGAATTGTGTTAGGCAGCACGGTGGTGCAGCTGGTAGAGCTGCTGCCTCTCAGCAAGCAGGTCCCTGGTTCAAACCCCGGTCCGGGGGCCTTTCTGGGTGGAGTTTACATGTTCTCTCCGTGCATGCGTGGGTTTTCTCCAGGTACTCCGGTTTCCTCCCACAAACCAAAAACATGCATGTTAGGCTGATTGGTAACTCTAAATTGTCCCTAGGTGTGAGTGAGAGAGTGAATGGTTGTTTGTCTCGTTTGTCTCTATGTGTCCCTGTGATGGACTTGCGACCCGTCCAGGGTGTCCCCCGCCCCTCGCACAGTGACTGCTGGACATGGGCACCAGCGACCCCCGTGACCCAAAATGGAATAAACGGGTAAAGATGATGGATGGATGGATGGAATTGTGTTATTGCATAGGAAGAGCACCAGAGGGCGCCATAACACTGTTTAAAATACGAAACGTTTCAGCACAAGAAAAAAGAACTGTCCAGATGACCTGACTGAAAAATGTTGGATTTTATTCCTGGATCATTGAGCATGGACTTTGTTATGTTTGAAATATGCTGACAGAGGATGAAGAAGGAAAGTGAGGAAGTAAAGAAGGAGAGCTAAAGCTGATCCACGTGTCTGCTTATTTTTCTTTTAATTCAGTCTTGCAACTCACAACGGACAGTCGGCCAACCAAACTATTACAGCAATCAAAAATGAACAAGGAGCTGCATGGCACAACAATGCTGAAATTAATACGTTTTAGTACATTTTACCAGTCTTTGTACACCACAGAGTCATCAGCTGGCATATTGAACATGGAGAACTTTTTTTTGAACTTCCTTCAGTGAATCCTGATCTCGTCTGGGACTTGAAGAGGGACTTCTCTGTAGCTGAGATTAACTCCATAATCAACAATATGCAAAACAGGAACTCCCCTGGACCAGATGGCTTCCAATGTGAGTTTTTAAAAGAAATGTTCAAGTGTGCTCTCACCCTTATGAAGGTCTGTGTTTGAGGAGTCACTTGCTGCTCGGGCTTTGCCACTGATCATGTGTCAAGCTGTAATCTCACTGATACCAAAGAAAGACAAAGACCCTCTGAACTGCAGCTCATATCGACCCATCTCACTTTTAAATACTGATGTGAAAATTCTGGCAAAACGAGTGGAGTGGGTGGTCCCCACTATTGTCTCGCCTGATCAAACCGGGTTTGTTGAAAACCATCAGGCTGTCTTCAATGTTCGGCAGCTGCTTGATGTGCAGTACACTCCTAGTCCACCCTAGTCCTAGTCCTAGTCCTAGTCCATGGTAGATTTGCTCTATGAGCAGCTGCTACAGAAGTTTAATATTCACAAGTCACAGTTTTTAGTTATCTGCAGCTGAGACATGTTGTGAGATCTGACTGGGACTGGTTTCCTTTGTACCCCTCTAAACATTTTGTGGCAAAGATTTTAGAGTGCAGGTCTGACACCAAGGGGACCCTCGTCAAGATCAGTTCATACCATGAATCCAGTTTGGACTCACTTAAACTGAAATGGGAAGTGGACTTGGAGGAACCCATATCAGACCCAATCTGGTGAAGGATCATTAAGAACATTCACTCGTCTTCAATCTGTGCGAGACATGCAGTAATCCAATTCAAGGTGGTGCACAGGCTGCACTGGACCAAAGACAAACTGTCCAAGATAAAAGCCGACCTGGACCCTGCATGTAATGAATGTAAACAAACTCCAGCTGCACTCCTGCATACATTCTGGACCTGGCCCAAACTGCAGACTTTTTGGCAGTCTATATTTGACACCTTCTCTGGAAAATGTAGCAAAATTGTTCACCAATCAACACTCATCTCACTGTTCGGGGCGGTCCCTGTGGATGTCCGATGTCCTTCAGCAAGTGAGAGAGGGACGTGATTGCCTTTGGCTCTCTGCTGGCCTGGAGGCTAATACTGTGCAACTGTAACCCCGCCCCCCACAGTATATGTCGAGTGGATAAGGGAGGTGATGTACCATATCCATCTGGAAAAAAATCAGATACACCCTGAAGGGTTCTGTAGGAAGATCCTGGGACACCTGGCAGCACTTTGTGTCATTTGTTGAGAACTTGTCAATGCCTGTGTTCTTTATTTGCGTATGTGTGACTGCTCCGGTGTGGGAGGGGATTTTGTTCTGTTCTTTTGTTTTGTTCAGTTTTCTTTGTGTTAAAAAAGAAAAAAAAAAAAATCAATAAAAATTATTTGTTTAAATGATTATTTTTGATTTGCTACTTTTAGCTCCAATACGATGATGAGCTGAACCCTTAATGATGATGAGCTGAACCCTTAATGATGATGAGCTGAACCCTTACTGATGAGGAGCTGAACTCCTAATGATGATGAGCTGAACCCTTAATGATGATGAGCTGAACCCTTAATGATGATGAGCTGAACCCTTA